GGCAAACCGCGGGAGCGGAGGCTTGCAGGTGAGTCTGAGATCGCCATGCTGACTCCAGGCCCGGGGCTACAGAGCAGAGCGTCGTCTCAAAAAAAAAAAAAAAAAAAAAAAAAGAAAACAGGTTAGATTTTACTCTCGTAAACAGGTAGCGAGTGAAAAGTGAGAGCCATCCTCTCCCTTACCTCATTCTACTCCCAATAATTAGCTCTCTTTAAGTTTGGTGGGATGTCACCTCAGTTGATACAACTTGTAGCACTGTAAATACATAAATTAATGATCCCAAATGTAGCTAGGCCCTCACTGCTCCTAGCTATTCCAGCTGTTTGTTCTTGTCAGGTGTGCTCCAGTTCTTCTTTATGAGTCAGCGAATTCATTCCACAATATTTGGTGCTTGTTATATAGAGTTGGGCACCCTACTCTTACTTTTTTTTGTTGTTGTTGTTGAGATGGAATTACCTTCTTGTCATCAGGCCAGGTGTGGTGACTCACTCCTGTAATCCCATTACTTTGGGAGGCTGAGGTGGGCGGATCGTTTGAGCTTAGGAGTTCCAGACCAGCCTGAACAACATGGCAAAACTCCCATCTCTACCAAAAATACAAAACAGCCGGTTGTGGTGAGGTGCACCTGTGGTTCCAGCTACTCAGGAGGCTGAGGTGGGAGGATCACTTGAGCTTAGGAGGTGTAGAGGTTGCAATGAGCCGAGATCGTGCCACTGCACTCCAGCTTGGGTGACAGACCCCATGTCTAAAAAAAAGAATCTTAGCCAGGCACAGTGGCTCACACTTGTAGTTTCAGCTATTCAGGAGGATGGGCCAGGAGTTATAGACCAACCTGTGTGATACAGCAAGACCCAATCTCTTAAACAAAAATATGGCTGGGCGCAGTGGCTCACGCCTCTAATCCCAGCACTTTGGGAGGCTGAGGTGGGTGGATCACAAGGTGAGGAGATGAAGACCATCCTGGCTAACATGGTGAAACCCCATCTCTACTAAAAATACAAAAAATTAGCCAGGCGTGGTGGCAGGCACCTGTGGTCCCAGTTACTTGGGAGGCTGAGCTGAGATCGTGCCACGGCACTCCAGCCTGGGCAAGAGAGTGAGACTATCTCAAGAAGAAAAGAAAAAAAAAATGTGTGTGTGTGTGTGTGTGTGTGTGTGTGTTCACTCTCTAGGTTTAACTCTTCTCCTCTCTTTCCCAGTGTGTGTGTGTGTGTGTGTGTGTGTTCACTCTCTAGGTTTAACTCTTCTCCTCTCTTTCCCAGCCAGCCTTTATGAAGAGTTGCATCCCTCACAGTCTTCTCTCATCTTTCTCTCTTGTCTAGCTTATTCCCCATCACTCTGGTATAATGACTCTTGCTTAAGGTCATGAATGACCCCACACTCTGAATGTAGTGAAGACTCCTTTCCACTCTTCTTCCTAAAAGATGACTTGATCTCTTAGCAGTGTTCTTCATAGTTGACAGCACCCTCTTCCTTTGAAACACTTCCTTCCCTTGGCGTCTGTGACACTAAATCCTGTTGGTTTTCTTCTTTCTCTTATTCCTCTCAACTTTCTGTTGTTTTAACCTTTTTTTCTCTCGCTAGCCTTAACTCTAAGGTTTTTTGTTATTGTTGTTTTGTTATTTTTAATTATTGGAGACTGTGTCTTTCTCTGTTGCCCAGGCTGGATTTCGGTGGCGCAATCTTGGCTCACTGCAGCCTCGACTTCCCAGGCTCAAGCAATCCTCCCACCTCAACCTCCCTGGTAGCTGGGACCTCAGGCACATGCCACAATGACCAGCTAATTTTTTTTTTTTTGGTAGAGACAGGGTTTCACTATGTTGCCCGGGCTGGTCTTGAACTGGACTCAAGCAATCCACCCACCTCAGCCTTCCAATGTGCTGGGATTAGAGGTGTGAGCCACCATGCCTGGCCCAACTCTTAAGACTTCTTTGTTTGTGTGTGTGCGTGTGTACTTTGTGTGAGAGACAGAGTTTCACTCTGTCACCCAGGCTGGAGTAGAGTGGCACGATCTCGGCTCACTGCAGCCACTGCTGCCCTGGTTTAAATGATTCTCCTTTCTCATTTTCCCGAGTAGCTGGGACTCCAGGTGTATACCACCATGCCCAGCTAATTTTTGTATTTTGTAGTAGAGAGAGGGTTTCACTATATGTTGACCAGGCCACGTCTCAAACTTCTGACCTCAGGTGATCCACATGCCTTTGCCTTCCAAAGTGCTAGGATTCTTTTTGAGATGGAGTTTTTGTCGCCCAGGCTAGAGTGCAGTGCAGTGGCATAATCTTGGCTCACTGCAACCTCCGCCTCCCAGGTTCAAGCCGTTCTCTTGCCTCAGCCTCCCGAGTGACTGGGATTACAGGTTTACAGGCATACACCACCACGGCCAGCTAATTTTTTTTTTTTTTAGGAAGAGACAGAGTTTTGCCATGTTGGCCAGGCTGGTCTTGAACTCCTCACCTCAGGTGATCCACCTGCCTCAGCCTCCCAAAGTCCTGGGATTACAGGCGTGAGCCACTGTGCCTGCCAACTCTTAGACTTCTTAAAGCATGACCCATACTTTTTATTTTAATTCTACTTTTTGCCTTAGTGATCTTATCAGCTCCCATGGTTTCAAATTCTAACAACTCTTTGTGGCATTGGTGGTACAGTGATAAGCATAGCTGCTTTCAAATCCTAGCAACTTGTACATTTATATTCCTACTCCAGATCTTTCTCTTGAGTTAACCTTATATAACTGTGTATCCCTTGCCATCCCACCCCTGCATTGATGTCTCTGGCATTTCAAATTCAGCATGTCTAAAACTGAAGGTCTAAAACTTCTCTATCCCTTATACCCCCCGACTCCCCGACCCCAAAAATAACACATACAACTTGGTCTTAAGCCCTCTTCCACTATTCTTGTCTCAGTAAATGACCCCGACACCTACCTGGTTTTCCAGGCCTGATGATGCCTACTTTCTTCTTCACTCTACAGTCACTAAATCCTATTGATGGAACTGCTTCCATCTCTCATCAGTTCTTCTCCTTCCATCCACACCCATTGTCATCACCCTTGTCCCAGCCACCATCTTCTCCCACCTATCCTATTTGAACAATCTTAATTGTTCTCCCTGCACCTGTTACTCTGCCTTTTCATTCATTTTTTGTTTAACACCCAGAGTAAACTTAAAAATCAGGAGAAATGGGCCGGGTGCAGTGGTTCACACCTATAATTCCAGCACTTTGGGAGGCCGAGGCGGGCAGATCCAAGGTCAGGAGATTGAGACCATCCTGGCTAACATGACGAAACCTCGTCTTTATTAAAAATACAAAAAAAAAAAACAAACAAACAAAAACAAAAACAGCCGGGCGTGGTGGCAGGCGCCTATGGTCCCCAGCTACTCGGGAGGCTGAGGCAGGAGGATGGCATGAACCTGGGAGGTGGAGCTTGCAGTAAGCCGAGATTGTGCCACTGCACTCCTGCCTGGGTGACAGAACAAGACTCTGTCTCAAAAAAAAAAAAAAAAAAATCAGGAGAAATGTATTAGTAACTTATTAAAGTGCTTGTTTGTGTTTTAACATTACACTGGGCTTTTTACTGTGCTTTCAGGTGTCCACTTGCGAAAGCAGCATTCCTATATTGAGCAAGGCAAGAAATGCCGTTACTGTGATGCTGTGTTTCATGAGCGCTATGCCCTCATCCAGCATCAGAAGTCACACAAGAATGAGAAGCGCTTTAAGTGCGACCAGTGTGATTACGCTTGTAGACAGGTAGGAACCTTCCCTGAAAGTTGTTGGTGCTTCCTCAGTGTCTGGTGTTATCAGAAGGCATTTACATATTTTAAGGATAGTATTTTCAAACTGGATTATGAGGAATGTCACCAAAATCAAAGGTCATGCTCCTTGTCAATTGTATTATCCCATGTCCCGCTGATGTTTTATTCAGTCACAGCTTACCTCTTCCTTAAGCAGACATCTCTCTGAAAACTGTGGAAAGTAGGTCCAGGACTTGAGAGAGGGGAAGAATCTCATGCGGGGACATGACTCTTGGGGGAGAGCCAGAGAAGGAGCTCAGCAGGAATGAGCAGCTCTGTCTGTGCTAGAATTATGGAAGCAGTTCTGCACCACACTAAAAATACCTTTATCAAGTGGGGCCCAGTGGCTCACACCTGTAATCCTAGCACTTTGGGAGGCCAAGATAGGCAACGGAGAGAGACCCTGTCTCTACAGAAAGAAAAATTAGGGCTGGGCACGGTGGCTCGAGTGCCTGTAATCCCAGCACTTTGGGAGGCCGAGGTGGGTGGATCATTTGAGGTCAAGAGCTCGAGACCAGCTTGGCCAAGACGGTGAAACCCTGCCTCTACTAAAAATACAAAAGTTAGCCAGGCGTGGTGATAGACATCTGTAATCCCAGCTACTCCGGAAGCTTAGGCAGGAGAATTGCTTGAACCTGCAGCGGAGGTTGCGTTGAGCCGAGATTGCGCTACTGCGCTCCAGCCTGGGCGACAGAGTGAGACTGTCTCCAAAAAAAAAAAAAAAAATTTAGCTGGGGCCAGGTGACTCACACCTGTAATCCCAGCACTTTGAGAAGCCAAGGCCAGCAGATCATTTGAGGTTGGGAGTTCAAGACCAGCCTGGCCAACCTAATGAAACCCCATCTCTACTAAAAACTACAAAAATCACCTGGGCGTGGTGGCAGGCACCTGTAATCGCAGCTACTCCAGAGGCTAAGGCAGGAGAACTGCTTAAACCTGGGAGGTGGAGGTTGCAGCGAGCCGAGATGGCGGCACTGCACTCCATCCTGGGCGACAGAGCAAGACTCCGTCTCAAAAGAAAAAAAAAAATTAGTTGGGCATGGTGGCTCATGTCTATGGTCCCATTTTGAAGCTGCAGTAAACCATGATCACACCACTGCTCTCCAGGCTTTGCAACAGAGCAAGACCCTGTCTCTAAATATATAGCTTTATCATCTCAAGCCGTGTTGAGTCTAGACCTAGCTTGGGTGAGAAAGACCTGTTGGCCACTTGCATGCAGGTGGCAGCTGGGATAGTAGCCCCATGAGCAGGCTCAGAGGCCTTTTCCCCTCTGCCATTTCAGGAGAGGCACATGATCATGCACAAGCGCACCCACACCGGGGAGAAGCCTTATGCCTGCAGCCACTGCGATAAGACCTTCCGCCAGAAGCAGCTTCTCGACATGCACTTCAAGCGCTATCACGACCCCAACTTTGTCCCTGCGGCGTTTGTCTGTTCTAAGTGTGGGAAAACATTTACACGTCGGGTAAGGGTCAGAACTTCACTTTTCCTATTATGATACTGAATATTGGATTTTTGGTCTTCCTCTGCAGAGCAAGGTAGTTTTTTTCACTGAGGTTATAAACAGAGATGCTCCATTGTTTGGAAAGTGTTAGTCACCCCATCTTGATGTTTCTATCTATGTGTGAGCCCTTTCACTGATGGGGAACACAGTATCTTTGAATAGATTGATTGTATAAAGAAATTTCCTGCTGAGCACGGTGGCTTACACCTGTAATCTCAGCACTTTGGGAGGCTGTGGTGGGTGGATCATGAAGTCAGGAGATCGAGACCATCCTGGCTAACACGGTGAAACCCTGTCTACTAAAAATACAAAAAATTAGCCGGGTGCAGTAGCAGGCCCCTGTAATCCCAGCTACTCGGGAGGCTGAGCCAGGAGAATGGCGGGAACCAGGGAGGCGGAGCTTGAGTGAGCCGAGATCACGCCACTGCACTCCAGCCTGGGCGAAAAAGCGAGACTCCGTCTCAAAAAAAAAGAAATTTCCTTAGGTGGATTGAAACCTGCACCCCACCCCACCCCTAGCTAGCTGTAGCCAGTGCGGGGTCTTCTCTTGAGGGCTGTGTTAGATCTTGACAGAACTAGGAGCTGGTCTGAATCCTCCCCTGTCTCTGTCTGTAGGCTGCTGAGCCTCCCCTCAAAGAAGCTAGGCCTATCCATTTCCCTTGAGCAGAGACAGCGTGTTCAGGACACACTTAGCAGATACTAGAATTTTTAGGCTTAATACGGATTTTATTAAAGTAAATAACTTTCAATCTGATCTTAGCTTTTTTAGTGGTGTGAAAGAGGATTTTGTTCTTTTTGTTAGAATACCATGGCAAGACATGCTGATAATTGTGCTGGCCCAGATGGTGTAGAGGGGGAGAATGGAGGAGAAACGAAGAAGAGTAAACGTGGAAGAAAAAGAAAGATGCGCTCTAAGAAAGAAGATTCCTCTGATAGTGGTAGGTGACTTGTTTCTTGGTTTGCTTACTGTGGCAGGCTTTGGAGCCCAGTTTCCAGTGTATTTATGTATGGATATGCTGAGATATAGAGGCAGGCACACGCTCTTCCTTTCTTTAAACTTCTCATCTCCTAATGTCTATTTACAACAGCAGTTAGTGTTTTTCTGGGGCACATTTTCTTTTCTCCTCGTGGCATTCCACTTATTAATGCCTTATAAGTAATCTTCAGTTAAAGTCAAAGCAAAATTAATATTTTTATTTAGTTTATTCAAATTTGTGATATTCTAAGGCCAGCCGAGTTTCTTGTCCTATGTTTTTAACTTTTACATTTAGGTAGCTGGTCTAGATTTGAGCAGTGAATCTAATGGACATGAAGAAAGTTGTTTAAGCCTCTTCACTTATGGTTTGACTGCCTGTGTCAGCCTAGCCTTGAGAGGTGCTGATCAAGTCAGTGAAGGTCAGCCTTTCTCTTCCTACCTTAATCTCTCCATTTAAAGTTTAAAATCTTGCCTATTTTCCTACCACAGGTACTCTTTGGAGTGTTTTTTGCCTCTCTAGTCATGAAACCCAGGCAGGAGGTTATGCTTAGAAGTGCCAAGCCTTGGTCGGGCACAGTGGCTCATGCCTGTAATCCTAGCACTTTGGGAGACGAAGATGGGCAGATCACTTGAGGTCAGGAGTTCGAGACCAGCCTGGGGAACATGGCAAAACCTTGTCTCTACAAAAAATTTAAAAATTAGCCCGGTGTGGTGGTACATGCCCATAGTCCCAGCTACTCGAGAGGCTGAGGTAGGAGAATCACCTGAGCCCGGGAAATAGAGGCTGCAGTGAGCTGTGATCACGCCACTGCCCTCCATCCTAGGCGTCTTTTTTTTATCTCCAAAAAAAGAAGTGCCAAGCCTCACAAAGAGGGTGGAAGAACAAGAGTCTTGGTAATTTGGAGGCCACGTTTAATTACACAAACATGTTCAGAGTGTTAGATTCCATAGTGTGGATATGTGGGTTGCTGGCATCCAGGTGGGAAGACACCTCTGTAACTAAAGACTTAAGGTATGGATGGAAAAGGTGGTAGAGAGTTTGGTTTTAGGGAATGGACTTCCCAGAAGCACCATTAAACTGGAGAGATTATAGATGATGCCTGATAGTCTAGGGATTCTTCATTTTGTGTTTTGCACTGGTTGTCAGTAGAAATAGTGGGGAGGGGATGAGATTTTTTGAATAAGTAACATATTGAAGAACTTTAGTCACTTATTGGGCTTTTTTGTTTTTGAGTTTTTTGTTTGTTTGGTGTTCTTTTTGTTTTTTGAGATGGTATCTCCCTCTTGTTGCCCAGGCTGGAGTGCAGTGGTGTGATCTCTGCTCCCTGCACCTCTACCTCCTGGGTTCAAGCGATTCTCCTGCCTCAGCCTCCCAGGTAGCTGGGATTACAGGCTTGCCCCACCACGCCCTATTAATTTTTGTATTTTTAGTAGAGATAGGGTTTCACCATGTTGGCCAGGCTGGTCGCGAACCCCTGACCTCAGATGATCTGCCCTCCTCAGCCTCCCAAAGTGCTGGGATTACAGGCTTGAGCCACTGTGCCCGGCCTTAATTTGTATTTCTAATTAATGCTGTCTAATGACTATTAATATGGTGAGTTATAGTAATTGATTTTATTACTTTTTTTCACCCTCAACTTTTTTTTTTTTTCTTTTTCTTCCGAGGACGGAGTCTCACTCTGTTGCCCAGGCTGGAGTGCAGTGGTACGAGCTCGGCTCACTGCAACCTCCGCCTCCCAGGTTCAAGCAATTCTCCTGCCTCAGTCTCCCAAGTAGCTGGGATTACAGGCATGAGCCACCGCGCCCGGCCTGGAGTATCTGTTTTAAGTAGCATCTTCTTCAGTCACTGGGTGTTAAGTGTATGCCTCCTTTAAGATGTCAATTTGCCACTGGTCATGGTGGCTCACGCCTGTAATCCCAGCACTTCGGTAGGCCAAGGCAGACAGATCACCTTAGCTCAGGAGTTCAAGACCAGCCTGGGGAACATGGCAAAACCCTGTATCTACAAAAAAATACAAAAATCAGCAGGGGGTTGTGGCCTGCACCTTTGGTCCCAGCTATCTGGGAGGCTGAGGTGGGAGGATGGCTTGAGCCCAGTAGGTTGAGGCTGCAGTGAACTGAGATAGTGTCACTGCACTCCAGCCTGGGCGACGGAGTGAGACCCTGTCTCAAAAAAAGAAAAAAATTATTGCAGTGAACTGTTGGGGGTTTTCAGAAATGTTGGGAGACTCCCAGATATTACCAGTGATCAGATAATCTTAACCTTTATAGTTGCTCTTAGTTGCAAAGCCCCCTGCTGCCAGACTCTGTCCTGTGTCCTGCTTTCTCCTGATACTTCCTTGTTCACTTTTGTGATTCATCTCCAGGAAGACCAGCTTCTTTCCCTCATCATATGTAACCAGAAGCATCTTAAGTCTAAAGAGATTATTGATAGCTTCTGATAGATTTCTACAGTTCTTCCTTCGGTCTGCTGCTGTTTAGTAGAGCACGAAATTTGGTTCAAGGCCTTATACCTAGTGACTCTTTATCTCCCCCAGAAAATGGACGTCAGCCTGGGCTCCATGCCACTGATGGCCGTGCAGTGTTACTTGTCCTGACCCAGAAGTTCTGCTTGTCGGCTATCTACAGAAATCGACCAGCAGATGGTCTGCTGCAGTTTTCAAGGCTTTTTGCTGAAATACCACCAAGCCAATAAGCCTTTGATCCTGTTAGCCTGCTTTTGTGTGCTTTTCCCCCCTATTCTGACTGAATTTGTTTAGTTTTCTAGGCATTGGGCCAACTTAGGCAATAGGGGGCTTGAAGAAGTTCAGCAGGGAAGCATCTCTCGTTCTTGACACACTGCCACTTATCTCTACATTCCCCACATTTTCACTTAGGATTTCAGTCACTTGAGAAATAAGGCATTTTATCTGGAAGATCAGGAGTTTACCCACAGATCTCTAAATTTAAACATTTTGTTCCAGAGAAAGAGAGTGCACGTCAATAACCTGTGCTTTCTAGAGGAAGGCAGGCATTGTACATTTTGTGCCACAGCCATGGGGGAGGGATAACAAAAGCTCTTTAGCTGCCTGCAGATGTGGGCGCCAGAACAGCCCAGACTGAGGGCAGAGGTTTGAATTCTACCTGCTGTGACTTGGCTGAGCATTGCAATCACTTAGTTTCTCACTTTTTCTATAAAATGAGGGTAACACCCTCATTCAGTGAAGTACCGAAGCCTAAGTGGAAAATGGTGAATTTTAAAATTGTGATGTTTGCTATAAGTAAAAGCTGTGTTTGTGGTAGACTGTAGGTTATGGAGCAGGATTACATGAGTTGCCTCAGTCCTGTTGATCTCCAGGTCACTATTAAGTGGAGTGAGAGTGCTACAGAAATTGCTCAGGGAAACTGAGTCTCAGCTGGTCAGATGTCCCAGGTCACATATCTAGTAAGAGATCTGAGACTCAGAGCCTCATTACCTGACTCCTCATCAGTATTCTTTATACAATAATTTCCTCACTTTTATGTACCACTTATTTTACCATGGATGGACAACTGTGGCATTAGGGAGGAGAGCAAAAGGGTTGGGAATGATACATTAGGTCTGGTACAGCTGGGAATTAAGTCCAAAAACTTGACTTTAAAAGAGAATCAATAATTGTTTCATAAAAACTCTTGCTACTTACCTTAGTAAATAGGACCTCACAATGCGTAAGAATTTCTGGCCAGGCATGATGGATGAAGCCTATAATCCTAACACTTTGGGAGGTCAGGAGTTAGAAGCTGCAGTGAGCTATGATCACACCACTGCACTCTAGCCTGGGTGACAGAGCAAGACCCCGTCTCAAAAAAAAAAAAAGCAAAAGAATTTCTGTCTTGTCCCCCGACACACACACACACACACACTCTTAGCCCTTCTGCCCACTTAGAGATGAGCACAACCACATCTCCAAGGGTCCATTTCAGGCTTAGTGTCCTGCTTTATCCTGGTATAGGTAGGTAGGGGGATCATTAAAATTTGAAATTCAGTATTGTGTTGAATCAAAAAAGTAGGGTCTAAAGCTAAAAGGAAAAACTAGTAGCCAATCCCACATAAAGTGCGAATAATAGTATTCAAGTCAATTTGCTTCATTTTGCTGCAATACCTGTTTATTATATTAATCCTGATAGCAAAAATTCCAGCAAAAGCATTTTTATTTATTACTTTGGAACCTCACACCCTGCTCCCCTAAAAGCATTTTTAAATGGACTTTTGTTTTGTTTTGTTTTTAATTTTTAATTTATCTTTTTTTGTTGTTTGTTTTTCCCAAAGTCTTACTCTGTCACCCAGACTGGAGTGCAGTGGCATGATCTCAGCTCACTGCAACCTCTGCCTCTCAGGTTCAAGTGATTCTCATGCCTCAGCCTCCTGAGTAGCTAGGATTACAGGTGCCTGCCACCACACCTGGCTAATTTTTGTATTTTTAGTAGAGACGGGGTTTTACCATGTTGGCCAGGATGGTTTCAATCTCCTGACCTTGCAGTCCACCCGCCTCAGCCTTCCAAAGTGCTGGAATTACAGGCCTGAGCCACCATGCCTGGCCACATTTTTTTTTTTTTTGGAGTAGAAATGGGGTTTCACCATATTTGCCAGGCTGGTCTCATCTCGAACTCTTGAACTCAAGTAAGCCGCCCACCTCGCCCTCCCAAAGTGCTGGGATTACAGGCATGAGCCACCACACCGAGCCAATTTCGTTTGTTTTGTTTTTTGTTTTTTGTTTTTTTCTTTTCTCTCTCTCTCTGGAGACAGAGTTTCACTCTTGTTGTCCAGGCTGGAGTGCATTGGCGGATCTCAGCTCCACACAATCTCTGCCTCCCGGGTTCAAGTGATTCTTCTGCCTCAGCCTCCTGAGTAGCTGGGATTACAGGTATGCGCCACCATGCCCAGCTAATTTTGTATTTTTAGTAGAGTCAGGGTTTCTCCATGTTGGTCAGGCTGGTCTTGAACTTCCAACCTCAGGTGATCCACCCTCCTCAGCCTCCCAAAGTGCTGGGATTACAGGCGTGAGCCACCGCGCCCAGCTGCCAGTTTCTTATTTCTTGTAGAGATAATGTCTCACTATGTTACCCAAGCTGGTCTTGAACTCCTGAACATGAGTGATCCTCCAATCTCAGCCTCCCAGAGTGCTGGGGTTATAGGTGTGAACCACTGTGCCCAGCCTTAAATTGGTTTTTCTTAATAAAATAATAGACTGAGCACAGTGGCTCACGCCTGTAATCCCAGCACTTTGGGAGGTCGAAGTGGGCAGATCACCTGAGATCCGGAGTTTGAGACCAGCTTGGCCAACATGGCGAAACCCCGTCTCTACAAAAAATACAAAGATTACCTGGATTGGCTGGGCAAGTTGGCTCATGCCTGTAATCCCAGCACTTTGGGAGGCCAAGGCAGGTGGATCACCTGAGGTCAGGAGTTCAAGACCAGCCTGACCAATATGGTGAAACCCCATCTCTACTAAAAATACAAACATCAGCTGGGCGTGGTGGCGTATGCCTGTAGTCACAACTACTTAGGAGGCTGAGACAGGAGAATTGCTTGAACCCAGGTTGCGGAGGTTGCAGTGAGCCGAGATCGTGCCACTACATTCCAGCCTGGGAGACAGAGTGAGACTCTGTCTCAAAAAAAAAAAAGAAAAAGAAAAGTTACTTGGGCATAGCGGTGCGTGCCTGTAGTCCCGGCCACTCAGGAGGCTGAGCCATGAGAATTACTTGAATCTGGGAGGTGGAGGTGGCAGTGAGCCGAGATCGTGCCACTGCACTCCAGCCTAGGCAGCAGAGTGAGACCCTGTCTCAAAAAAAAAAAAGAAAAGAAATATATATATATATAAAAAACAAGACTTCAAAGAATATGTAATTGTTTTCTTTCTTCTTCCACCACCCTTCTCCTTGTCCCACCACCTGTGCTTCCTGATTTCATGAAAAGAAAATGCTGAACCAGATCTGGACGACAATGAGGATGAGGAGGAGCCTGCCGTAGAAATTGAACCCGAGCCAGAGCCTCAGCCTGTGACCCCAGCCCCACCACCTGCTAAGAAGCGGAGAGGACGACCCCCTGGCAGAACCAACCAGCCCAAACAGAACCAGCGTAAGTTGTTCATCTCTGCTCTGGAGGCTGGAGTCTTCTCCGAGCATGGGGGAGCCAGATGGGTCCTTGTTCTTTGGGGAGGTGGGAACTAAGCCATGAGAACAAGTTAAGGACATGTCGAGAACAAACTCTCAGGAAATGGTTTTTTAGGAGTTTTTACTGAGGAACATCTGAGGAAATCTTTAGACGCCTGTTACATTTCAAGGAGAAGAAGTCCAGAGTAGAAGGGTACTTGTGTTCTACAAGATGGGTACTGTTAATGTGGGCGGGTTTTGAAAAACAACCAAAGTCACAGTCAGCTGGCAGAATGGATGCGGTAATGAATATAAAAGAGCCAAATCGTAAAGGGTGGAGAGGGAAAGCAGTTTCTGTGCTGAGATTGCCCCTTCTAAGAAACTCAGGGTGAGGCACGGTGGCTCACACCTTTGATCCCAGCACTTTGGGGGGTCAAGGCGAGAGGATCACCTGAGGTCAGGAGTTCCATACCAGCCTGGCCAACATGGTAAAACCCCATCTCTGCTAAAAATACAAAAATTAGCCAGGCGTAGGGGCAGGCCCCTGTAGTCCCAGCTACTCAGGAGGCTGAAGTAGGAGAAACGCTTTAACCCGGGAGGCAGAGGTTGCAGTGAGCCGAGATCGTGCCAGTGCACTCCAGCCTGCTGATAGAGCAAGACTCCGTCTAAAAAATAAAATAAAAAATAAATTGAGGCCGGGCGCGGTGGCTCAAGCCTGTAATCCCAGCACTTTGGGAGGCTGAGACGGGCGGATCACAAGGTCAGGAGATCGAGACCATCCTGGCTAACACGGTGAAACCCCATCTCTACTAAAAAATACAAAAAAAAACTAGCCGGGCGAAGTGGCGGGCGCCTGTGGTCCCAGCTACTCGGGAGGCTGAGGCAGGAGAATGGCGTAAACCCAGGAGGCGGAGCTTGCAGTGAGCTGAGATCCGGCCACTGCACTCCAGCCTGGGCGACAGAGCCAGACTCAGTCTCCAAAAAAATAAATAAATAAATAAATAGACTCTCTCTGGACCACTATCTAATAAGGCTTTCCTGCATTGCTGACATCCTGTTTGATGTCAGTCTGAAGGACCCTTGTGATTCTTGGGGCTTTAATGCACCATTTTTTTCTGTCTGTGCTCTTCTTTGCCAGCAACAGCTATCATTCAGGTTGAAGATCAGAATACAGGTGCAATTGAAAACATTATAGTTGAAGTAAAAAAAGAGCCAGATGCTGAGCCCGCAGAGGGAGAGGAAGAGGAGCCCCAGCCAGCTGCCACAGACGCCCCCAACGGAGACCTCACGCCCGAGATGATCCTCAGCATGATGGACCGGTGATGGCGGAGCCTTGTGTGTCGCCAGGACTGCTCTGGGCTGTGTTTAAACGGCCCGCATCTTAATTTTTCTCCCTTCTTTCTTTTTTTGGCTTTGGGAAAAGCATCATTTTACCAAACATACCAAGAACGAAAACTTCAAGGATGATGTTAGAAAAAAATGTGATTTAACTAGAACTTGCTGTCTGATGTTAGCAAATCATGGAATGTTCTGAGTCCCCGAGGGTTTACTGTGAAGTGCTGAGGACAGTGTTGACGACTAACTCGTTTTCCTAGATGGAAACGGAGACATTGACCCCTCCCTCCATGTGGTAAACCACTCCAGAATGGCCACCAGGCTTCCCAGAGTTCTATGGTCTTCTTCCCAAGAGAGTTTTTAATTGTAAATGCATACTTGGGAAGGACTTAGACTTTTAAACTGTTTTTTGCTTTTGCTTTTCCCTGACTCCCTTTGCTTGGAGTCAGCTGCACACCAGTAGTATGGCATGCTACGATCAGGTTCTGTCCTGAAAGCTTTGCCTCTTTCTTGGCAAAGTTTCTGGTATGGTCAAGCTTGTAAATAACTTTTTTTACATTTTAATCTTTTCCATTAATTAAGAGGTTGAAAAGAAGTGCAGTGTAAGAAAACCCAGCATTTTAATTACTTGCAAATTAAGTTACCACAGACTCTGTAGTGTGTAAATGTTGACAAGGAATTGGATCACAATCATGTAGCAGAATGGCACCCAGACCACTGCCCACCAGTGACGGACACCCACGTGGCAGATCATGATTTCCAGCCCACGGAGCCAGCATTTGAACCTTGTACAATTAACTTTCAGTTATGATTTCCCATCAACATTTTCTTTGCCCTGTTTGTAGCTGATTGTTGTGTTTTATAAATCTTCTGTTAAAGCAGAAGGGTGATTATGAGTGGGTCACAGCAGCCCTTATAAGCTGGGCCAGAAAATTTTCACTAGGTCAGTAATTTAAACTTTGGATCTTCAAAAAATAATAATGTGAAACAAAACCAACTAAAAAGTGATTCTTGCACATGAACTGTCACATGTTTAAAAATGTGTTTTTTAGAGAGCCTCAGTCTTACTGATTTCAAACACTTTTTTCTTCTGTGTATTGCTTTTAAGAGAGCCATCAGTTAGCTATCAGACTCTAGGTTGATGCATTTTGTACTTAGCTGTACTGTGTGATATTTTTCATTATTTTAGGACACCAACATGAGACCTGTAATAAAATATGTAATGGGGTTGAAAGCTGGGGAGGAGGATCTACTGCTGTACAGCTAATAAATCATAACGGATTAACAAGTGCTTCAAAGACTCCATCTTGCGTGATTCCTGCCTGCTTGAGGGAGGTTGGGGGACTGCATACGTGGTTCCAAGCTGTGCAGGCTGCTGCCTTTCACAGGCAACCTCTGTTCCTGGGATGGTACTTTCTCTAGCAGATGGGAGGATATGATCTTGGCGGGTGACTGGATATTGAGCACATCCTGCTATAACTTTTTTTTTCCTTTTTCTTTTAGAATGAGTCTTGGGCTCGTTGCCCAGGCTGGAGCGCAGATGCCAATCTTCGGCTCATGCAACCTCCGTCTCCTGGATTCACGCGCCATTCTCCTGCGTCAACCCTCCCAAGTAGCTGGGACTACAGGGCGCCTGCCACCACGCCTGCCCAATTTTGTGTATTTGAGACAGGTTTCACCCGTGTTAGCCAGATGGTCCCTCAACTACCTGACCTCCGCGTGATCCGCCCCCACTCAGCCTCCAAAGTGCTTGGGATTACAGGCCGTGAGCCACCGCATCAGCCCTGCTGTAACTTCTAACTCCCAAAAGTGTGCTTGGATACAGGTGAGAAGTAGATGGACGGGCAGCAGCTTCGTGATCACTGAGGTAGGGGGGTGCCTGCACAGAAGTAAGAATGGCATAGCGCTTTAGAGGAAAGGGCGCTATAGCGAGGCTCGCAGCATCTCAGCTTCAAGAGGCCTGGGATCGAGAAGTGTACGCGGAGCTCTGGCAGGTGTGAGGGAACAGAGCAAGCCTGGACCAGCCTGCCCTAGAGAAGTTCATTTTGAAAGGAGAGACAGATGCACAACCCGGGTAGTGGAGAGAGACTCTCTTAGAATATAGGAACTGCCGGGTTTAGCACCCCAGAGGTGGAGGAGCTTGTGTCGTAGGTTTGGAATCTTAGGTCGTGACCTGGAGAACATTCATTTTTGCTGCTGCTGCAGTTTCTAGGAGATTGCTTTGCGCAACCCACTTTAGGTGAAGTTACCCCACTACTCCGAGTTTTTTTACCCAAAATTCCAACTTACAGTTTTCAATGAGAAAGTAACACACAAATTATGTGGGGAAGCTTTTGGCTGCCTAGTGCGTCCACAGGATGGGTCTCCCAGGAAAAACAACCCAGGGCCTCGTGAGGGCCCTCGGGATTTCAGCCAGGCGTTGAACTCTTGCTTTGAAAAGTAGTGCCTTCTCGCTTGTTGGAGCTTGAATTGGTCTCCCATCCGGTTTACCCACAGGTACCCACTACAGTCAGCCAAAACTTTTTTTTTTTTTTTGATTGGACGGAGTCTGCACTTGTGTCACCAGCCTGAGGCAGGGCACAATCTCGATCACTTACCTCCACCTCCTGGGTCAAAGGGATTCTCCTGCCTCGCTCCCCTGAGAAGCCGGGATTACAGGCACCCACCACCACACCCAGCTAATTTTTGTATTTTTAGTAGAGATGGGGTTTCACCATGTTGGTCAGGCTAGTTTCGAATTCCTGACCTCAGGTGATCCGCCCGCCTCAGCCTCCCAAAGTTCTGGGATTACAGGCATGAGCCACCACACCTGGCCCCAACTTTTTTTTAATTCCAAGTTTTTTTTGAGACAGGGTCTCACTGTCACCTAGGCTGGGATGTGGTGGCACAAACAACTCACTGTGACCTCGAACTAGGCTCAAGCAATCCTCCTACCTCAGTCTCCTGGATAGCTGGGACTACAGGCCATGCCATCACACCTGGCTCATTTTTGTTTTGTTTTGTTTTTTTTAGTTTTTTTGTAGAGATAGGGTCTTGCTATGTTATCCAGGCTAGTCTCAAACTCCTGGACTGAAGTGATCTTCCTGCCTCAGCCTCCCAAAGTGCTGGATTATAGGCATGAACCACCATGCCCAGCCACCTAAGCATATATAACCTTTTTGCAGAACAACGAGGCTCAGTTTTTCAACACCGCCTGTCATTCCTGATTGTACATATTCTGTTTGAAAGGTGTTTGTTTGTTTGTTTTGAGATAAGAGTCTCTGTCTGTTGCCAGGCTGAAGTGCAGTGGCACGAGCTGGGTTCACTGCAACCTCTGCCTCCCAAATTCAAGCGATTCTCCTGCCTCAACCTCTGCAGTAGCTGGGAATACAGGCGCATGCAACCACACCTGACTAATTGAATTTTAGTAGAGACGGAGTTTCACCGTGTTGGCCAGGATGGTCTCCCATCTCCTGACCTCATGATCCGCCCACCTCGGCCTCCCAAACTGCTGGGATTACAGGCGTGCACCACCACTCCCGGCCCTCTGTAAGTGGATTTGTTTTAGCTTGGGAGGGGGCAAAAGAATTGACATTGTGGGGGAGTTAAGGCTGAAAAGGGATCCTCCTGCTGCATAGCCCAGGATGCATCCTGTCTGACCCTTAATTATAAAACCTTTAGCAGCAGAAGCCAGTTTTGTTACTGCACCCCAGAGAACTGTTGACGGGGAAGTTCCTGAACCCGCGTGCAGCTCCCTCACTGTTAAGCCACAGAAGTAAAGAATCTATGCCCTTTTCACCCCTGGGCTGGCATCACCACCCTATTGCTGCCCAGCTTAGCAAGTACCTGAGCTCTTCTCTGGCTTGTCAGGACCTGGTCTTCGAAAATCATCTGAGGTGAGCCTTGTGGCAGCACCAAGGGGGCGTAGCCCAGCCCACCTGGGAGGCAAGTCTCGTCCTCAGCCTGTGCTACCCAGAACAGGCAAGGCTAATACTCTCAGGAGCTTTGGCATTTCCTGAACGCCCATGGAGTAACATGCCATCCAGAACACAGAGGGGCTTGAACAAGCTGACAACTTCTCATTGAGTCACTGTCACTTGTAAGAACTGAGTCCCATGTGTTCACTTGGTCTCTGAGATCAGGTTTGCTGTGTTACTACCGCCCTGACTGCCACCAGCCACGTGGCTAGTCCTGCAAGCCTGGCCTGATTTCTTAGTTGTCCCTGCCTGCCCCCATGTGCTCACACACACAGGGACTGGCCCCACTGGCGTCGCTGTAGCCTCCAGAGGCCCTCCACCTGGGCATGACTCCAACCCTTTTGGCAGTCACTCTCATCTTTCCTCCTTGTCATTCTAAACAGAAAAATCCCAGTGAGGTGGATTTTCTGTCATTCTGTTTTGGAATCCCTGGGTTGTCATGGTAGACTTGGCAAATGTGAGTGTTATCTGAGTGCCAGGCACTGTTGTGGGCACTTCCCTTAATAAACATTGATGGCCGGGCGCGGTGGCTCAAGCCTGTAATCCCAGCACTTTGGGAGGCGGAGACGGGCGGATCACGAGGTCAGGAGATCAGACATCTGGCGTAACCCGGGTGAAACCCCATCCTCTACTAAAAAATAAAAAAACTAGCCGGGCGAGGTGCGGGTCGCCTGTAGTCCCAGCTACTCGGGAGGCTGAGGCAGGAGAATGGTACAACCCGGGAGGCGGAGCTTGCAGTGAGCTGAGATCTGGCCACTGCACTCCAGCCTGGGTGGACAGAGCGAGACTCCTCTCAAAAAATAAATAAATAAATAAAAATAAACGTTGAATCCTTAGAGCAAGGCTTGAGGTTAGTTAATAGCTCCGGCTTACAAACAAAACTGGAAGACCAGAAAGGCTAAGTAACATGTTAGGGTCATCTAGGCAGTGTGCCTGCAGAATCTGCTTTTTTTTTTTTTTTTTTTTTTTTGAAATGGAGTCTTGCTCTGTCACCCAGGCTGGAGTGCAGTGGTGAGATCTTGGCTCACTGCAACCTCTACCTCCTGGACTCAAGCAATTCTCGTGCCTCAGCCTCCCCAGTAGCTGGGACTACAGGTGCTCATGACCACGCTCAGCTTTTTGTATTTTAGTAGAGACAAGGTTTCACCATGTTGGCCAGGTTGGTCTCAAACTCCTGAGCTCAGGCGATCCACCTTGGCCTCCCAAAGTGCTGGGATTATAGGCATGAGCCACTACACCTGGCCAGAACCTGCATTCTTGGTTCCTTGGCAGTACTGTGTGAGACCTACTGAATTGTCACCCTACAAGCAGTTTGAGGGTTCTGTGTGGTCTTCGAGCCTTAGATTTTAATCCCAATTATGTCTGTTCATGGCCATGCATAGTGGCTCACACCTGTAATCCCAGCACTTTGGGAGGCTGAGGTGGGCGGATTGCCTGAGGTCAGGAGTTGGAGACCAGCCTGACAAACATGGTGAAACCCCATCTCTACTAAAAATACAAAAATTCGCTGGGTGTGGTGGCACGTGCCTAATTCCAGCTACTTGGAAGGCTGAGGCAGAAGAATTGCTTGAACCCGGGAGGCAGAGGTTGCAGTGAACCAAGATCTCTCCACTGCACTCCAGCCTGGGCAACAAGACCGAAACTCTGTCTCTAATAATAATAATAATAATTAGCCTGGGCATGATGGTGGGTGCCTGTAATCCCAGCTACTCAGGAGACTGAGGGAGGAGAATCGCTGGAACCTGGGAGGCAGAGGCTGCAGTGAGCCAAGATTGTGCCACTGCACTCCAGCCTGGACCACAGAGCAAGACTCTGTCTCAAAACAAACAAACAAACAAACCAAGTATGTCTCTTCAATCGGGAAGGCAGCAGGAACTCTCTGTGCAGCATCTTCTCCAGCTGACTCCTCCCTGTCACCCTTAGCTGTCTTTTCACCTCCACCTTGCTGAGCTACGGGCAGGGTAGACTGCTGATCCTTACCGCTTAAGTGGAGTTTAGATTGTAATAGAAGAAAAAAAAATGCAGCCTCTTCCTGTGAACCTTCCAGAATCTAGGTCCTGGTCTTTTAGAGGGCAACAGGCTAGCAGGCCCTACCCCATGACTGTCTGACCCCTCTCAGCCCTAGAGACACTAGCTTATCTCTCTCTCTGGCTGCCCCTCCCAAACTCTGTCCAGCCTGGGGAGAAGGCAGACACAGGAAGACCCCCCATGTACCTGGAGGACTCACTCCCGCCCTCTATGAAGTGCTTGGGGTTCAGGACTCAGCCCCAGGCTGCCCCCTTGAAGGCCCCAGGTACACCCTCACCTTCAGCCCTGACCTCACCACTGCCGGCAAGGAAGGGCGCTGGACCCATCAGGGTTTTTTTTTTTTTTTTTCAGACAGGACCTGGCTTTGTCACCCAGACTGGAGTATAGTTGTGCAATCTCCGCTCACTACAACCTCTGCCTCCCAAGCTCAAGCGATCCTCCCACCTCAGCCTCCCAAGTAGCTAGGATTACAGACACACGCCATCACACCGGCTAAGTTTTAATTTTTTTTTTTTTTTTTTTTTTTTTTTTAGAGACAGGGTCTCCCTGTGTTGGCCAGCTTGGTCTCGAACTCCTTGGCTCAAACGTTCCTCCCGCCTCGGCCTTCCAAGGTGCTGGGATTACAGGCGTGAGCCACCGCGCCTGGCCCCATCTGGCATCTTTTCCCACCTATTCAAAATCTCTTGGATCTGTAACACGGTCACGGACTCCAGGTTCGGAGCAACGGGCAGGACCCCCGGTGTTGGCAGATATCGGGCGCTCCTTGCTGAACAGTCCCCCTTCTGCCAGGCGCCTCGTCCACCTCCGCAGCCTGGGCTCTGGAGGGGACCAGCCTAGGTGGGCCGCGGGGATCTCCGGGCAGGCAGCGTCCCCTGGTGTTCGCGGCAGGGACTGCGGGGCGGGGTGGAAGCAGGGGGCGAGGACCAGCTGGAGGCCCGCCACACGCGCCACCCTCCTGGCCACGCCACTCCCCACCGGGACGTCTACCCTGGCGGAGAAGCTCCTGGGCGACAGGGTGGGAGGGCAGGTGGGACTCGGCCCCCCTCCCACAACCCCGCTCCCTGGTGAGCTCTAGGGCCGCGAGGCCGGGGCGGGGAGGGGCCGGGCCGGGGGCGGCCTGGCAGGAAGCGGCGCGCACCTTCCGCCGCCGGGGGAGCAGGTGGCTGCCGTGCGGGTCGGGGCCCCTGGCTTCCTGTGTGCGCGCTCGTCCGCTGCTGTTTCCCGCCGGAGCTCATTGGGCCTCCCGGGCCCACCCTGCCCATGGCCCAGACCCCCGACGGCATCTCCTGTGAGCTGCGAGGTAAGCGCTGGCTCTTCCCGCCTTCTTGGCCGGGAGGAAGTAGTGCAGCCCCAAAATCAGAGGCCCACCCAGCGCCCCGGAGGGCCCGGTCAGAGGTTCTCTCTGCTCCCCAGGAGGGCGGGCGCCCCAGATCCTCTCCCTTCCTTCCTCGCTGGCTGCAGATTAGCCCCAGGGCCCCAGCCTGGCACAGACTGCGGGCACCAGTGGCTTATGTGCAAGGACCGAAGTCATCCAGCAGGCTGCCCTTCCACAGGCGAGATCACCAGGTTCCTGTGGCCCAAAGAGGTGGAGCTGCTGCTGAAAACCTGGCTACCCGGGGAGGGTGCTGTGCAAAACCATGTCCTGGTATGGGGCAGGGGACAGAGCCGGGGAGGCAGCTGTGGCCCCACAGAAAGAGCCTCTTGTTCTGCCCAGGGTATCAGACTGTCTTTCCCCAGGCGCTGCTACGATGGAGAGCCTACCTGCTACACACCACCTGCCTCCCGCTGAGGGTGAGTCCCAGGGCCTGGCCACACCTCCCACCCTCCAGCAGCTACCTCGGCAAGGGGCTGCATCTGCGGTCCTTCTTGGCCTTGTGGGCCCTGACTTTGCACCAGCAGTCGGCTCCGGGCAGCCAACAGGAGTGGAGTCCAGGCAGGTCTGGCTCTGCTCCAGGCTGCCCAAAGGACTGGGCTTCCATGAAGGCGGGGTTTGGGGCTTGGTCCCAGCTGATCTAGGCGCTTCCTAGGTGGACTGCACATTCAGCTACCTGGAGGTCCAGGCCATGGCGCTGCAGGAGACACCCCCTCAGGTGAGACATCTAGTACCCCACCTGGGCCTGCAGCCTGGTCTTCATGCTACCACCATCACCTGCGCCCATGCGTGGAGCCGAGGCCCAGTAGTCCCCCTTCCCTAGGTCACCTTTGAGCTGGAGTCCCTGCGTGAGTTGGTCCTGGAGTTTCCTGGTGTGGCCGCCCTGGAACAGCTGGCCCAGCATGTGGCTGCAGCCATCAAGAAGGTCTTCCCTCGCTCGACCCTTGGGTGAGGCCTGGCAAATTTGAGGGGCTGACAGAGGAGGAAGGAGGAGGGAGTGCATGAGAAGGGCTGCTTCCCATCCCAGAGGCTGGAAGTCCCTTGCCTCCTTCTGCTTAACCCCCTACCAGGAAGCTATTCCGGAGGCCCACACCTGCCTCCATGCTGGCTCGGCTGGAGAGAAGCAGCCCCTTGGAGTCCACTGGCCCCTGCAGCCCCTGTGGTAAGGGCAAAGGCAGGACCACAGGCCTTCCAGCCTGCCCCAACTCTGCCTCCCCAGACCCGCAAGATGGGGGGGGGCCCACACTGAACAGAGCCATTCAGGTCACAGCCACCACCTAGCCTGTGGGTCTGGTCTTCCTCCATTGCTGACCTTTTGTCTCTCTCCTTCCCCCTATTGCACCCCTGTCCCCTCCCCAGGTGGCTTCTTGGAGACATATGAGGCTCTGTGTGACTACAATGGCTTCCCTTTCCGAGAGGAGATTCAGTGGGTGAGGGTAGGGCCCTTTTGGAGGGCTCTGGAGACATCTGGTCCCCCATGTGTGCTGAGCCCCTCCCTGCCCCTTGTGGTCCCAAGCAAATTGTAAGCATCTCCTTCTTGCCCAGGACGTGGACACCATCTACCATCGCCAGGGCTGCCGCCATTTCAGCCTGGGAGACTTCAGCCACCTCGGCAGTCGGTGTGCAGCCTGCCAGGATGGGAGAGGAGGAAGATCCCGGGGCCCATATCCCTAGGCCTCATCTTCTCCATGAAGGGGCTGCTGGGCCTGGGACCTGGCTGGAGGGCCCTGAGCTCTGCCTCTCTTTCCACCCTCCCACCAGGGACCTGGCCTTGAGTGTGGCTGCCCTATCCTACAACCTGTGGTTCCGGTGCCTCTCCTGTGTTGACATGAAACTGGTGAGGGGGTGGGGGGTAAGGGCAGGGAGGGGCCAAGGGTGTGAGCCAGGGTGCAACCCGCTGAGGGCCAGGGTGCAGCCTATGAGCCGCCACCCTCTGCTTTTCAGAGCCTTGAGGTCTCAGAACAGATTCTACACATGATGAGTCAGTCATCGCACCTGGAGGAGCTGGTGCTGGAGACCTGCGGCCTGAGGGGGTGAGGGGACAGGGCAGGGCTTGGAGAGGAGAGTCTGGGGGCTTGGGATTGGGGGCTAGTGGACTGGAAGGGGTTGGCAAGCCAGGGGCAGAATCTCATGCCTGGGGTCTGGTCCCCAGAGACTTTGTCCGACGACTGGCCCAGGCTCTGGCGGGACACTCGAGCTCTGGGCTGCGGGAGCTCAGCCTGGCAGGGAACCTGCTGGATGACCGAGGTATGGATGAGCCTGGGGACCGCAGGGGCGGGCAGCAGGAGGAGGTGAGACCCACATGGCTGGTCCCACCCCCTAGGCATGGCTGCACTCAGCAGACACCTCGAGCGTTGTCCAGGAGCCCTGAGGAGACTCAGCCTCGCCCAGACAGGGTTGACTCCGCGAGGTAGGCTGGATGAGGGAGGGGGTGAGGGGAGGGGGGTGGGGGTCTGCCCAACTGCTGAGCCACCCCACCCCACCACCAGGAATGAGGGCTCTGGGCCGGGCACTGGCCACCAATGCTGCCTTCGACTCCGCCCTGACCCACCTGGACCTTTCCGGGAATTCCGGGGCGCTGGGGTCCTCCGAGGACAGTGGGGTAAGTGACTGTCTTCAGGGTGGGATCCTGGGGTTGCTCGGAAGCCCTGGGAGGCCATCCCCGACTCCATCCCACCCCTGTCCTCCCGCCAGGGCCTCTATAGCTTCCTGAGCCGTCCTAACGTGCTGTCGTTCCTGAATCTCGCAGGCACCGACACCGCCCTGGACACTGTGAGGGGGTGCTCCGTGGGGGGATGGATGACCGACAGGGCGGACTGGAGGGCAGGACAGGGAGGGCTCGGTCCCCCAGCGGGTGCAGCCAACAGCCTCCCCCCGCAGCTCTTCGCAGCGCTGTCCCGAGGCTGCTGCACCAGCCTTACCCACCTCGACGCTTCGAGGAACGTCTTCTCCCGCACGTAAGGGGGACCTGTCCGGGCCGGGGGAGGCAGCTGGAAGCCGCCTCCTTGCGCCCCCAGGCCCACCTTCCCACTTCCCCCAGGAAGTCCCGCGCTGCGCCGGCCGCGCTGCAGCTCTTCCTCAGCCGCGCGCGGATGCTGCGGCACCTGGGCCTGGCGGGCTGCAAGCTGCCGCCGGACGCGCTCAGGTCAGTGTCTGACCCCGGCCACGCCCCGCGGGCGCTCCAACCCCGCCCTGGCCTTCGCCCCTCCCCGCTCCTGCTCCGGTCGCTCCCACAACCTCCCCCAGATCCTGGCCCTGCCTCCTTCGTTCGCACCCTGGAGCCCCCTGTCCCAGCTCCCGCCACCCCCTGTAACGTCCCCTCCCAGGGCTCTTTTGGATGGCCTCGCGCTCAACACGCACCTCCGCGACCTGCACCTGGACCTCAGCGCTTGCGAGGTGAGCGCCGGCCCCCAGAGAACACACATTGGGAGTGGCGCTGGAGGCAGGAGGGCAGGGCCGTGGGCCGCCTACCCCTCCCCACTCGCGGCCTGAGTGGGTCCCATCTCCTACCTCCCACATCCAGCTGCGCTCGGCCGGCGCCCAGGTGATACAAGACTTAGTGTGTGACGCAGGCGCTGTGAGCTCCCTGGATCTGGCGGATAACGGTGAGGCTGCACGGGAGCCCATCCTCGCATCATCCACTCGATTCCCAGTCCCCACCCTATCCTTGCAACTTCGCCTCGTGCGTGACCCGAGTCACCCCCAGGCTTCGGCTCGGACATGGTGACTCTGGTGCTGGCCATCGGGAGAAGCCGGTCCCTGAGACATGTGGCGCTTGGAAGGAACTTCAACGTCCGGTGCAAGTGAGCCCCCACCCCACTCCTGGGCCTCCCAGACAACACCCTATCACCCCTGTCCCCTACAACTGCGGCCCCTGCCCACAGGGAGACCCTGGACGACGTCCTGCACCGGATTGTCCAGCTCATGCAGGACGACGACTGTGTGAGTTCACGGGACCTTGCAGGGTCCTCGGGCAATTAGACCCCTTTGGTCCTCCCTTCTCTTGTTCCCTCAGACCCTGTGACCTGCCCTCACTGACCCCTGACTCCAGCCATCAATGGCTTTCTCTTAACCCCAGCCTCTTCAGTCTCTGTCGGTGGCTGAGTCTCGGCTGAAGCTGGGCGCCAGCGTCCTACTCCGGGCCCTAGCCACCAATCCTAACCTGACCGCGCTGGATATCAGCGGCAACGCCATGGGGGACGCGGGCGCCAAGTTGCTGGCCAAGGCGCTCCGGGTCAACTCCAGGCTCCGGTGGGCGGGGTCAGAGGGGTGGGACCAGCGGGCAGGGGGCGCGGTGGAGAGGAGGGTGCCGAGCTAAGGGGCGGGACTGAATGAGGCGGAGCAAATGGAGCAGGTAGACGAGGCGAACGGACGAGGCCGAGGGTTGGGTGGGGCGTTGTGGAGCTCTGTCCCCGACTGAAGCCAGGCCTGGCCCAGGTCTGTGGTCTGGGACCGGAACCACACATCTGCTCTGGGTCTGCTGGACGTGGCACAGGCGCTGGAGCAGAACCACAGCCTGAAGGCCATGCCTCTGCCACTGAACGACGTGGCCCAGGCGCAGCGCAGCCGCCCTGAACTGACAGCACGTGCAGTCCATCAGGTGGGCGTCCCCCTCTTCCCTTGTCCTTCTCTGCACCCTGGCTCTGTCCCTCGGCATTTCTTAATACCCCTTACCCCTAGATCCAAGCCTGTCTCTTGAGGAACAACCGCGCAGACCCTGCCTCTTCTGACCACACGACCTGCCTTCAGCCACTCGGTCTGGTCTCAGACCCCTCAGAGCAGGTCAGTGTCCCCTCCCCAACCACGAGAGGTAGGGCATGAGGAGACCTGTGGCATCCGGGAGCCTCCATGAGTCAGAGGGTCTGACTTTCCTGGAGCCAGAGTGCCTGAACCCTGCTGTCCCAGACAAAGTCCCTCTCCTTGATCTGGAGACTGCTAAACACCCCTTAAATAGCTCTCCAATGACACCCTTGGTTGCGTAACGTTAAGCATGTAAACAGGGTGTCCTGTTAAAGAGGAATTTTTATGTCCTCCCTCAGTTTTCCCCCAATTGTAACCCCATCTCTGACCTCACATATTCAGAGCTCCCCTCTCCTCTCCATGGTGTGTCCAAACCCAGCTGCTCCTTCACTGTCTTCATCTCCCTCCACTACCTTATCTGTTGGAGGTGTTTCCACCTCTCCATTCCCAAATACCTCTTCTTTCCTAAGCTGCAGAGCCCAAAGGTCTTAATCCAGACATCCTGCAGAGCTTCATGCTCTGCACTTCTCCAAGTGATGTCATCGTCTTCCACAAACCCTGTTCTCTACCCTGGAGCCCAATTCCACTGGTGCCCACAGCCACCCAGTGCTGTGGACAGAGGTTGGGGCATCCTTCCAGGTCTCTCCTGGTCACACTGGAGCCCTCATAGCCCTCCTTCGTCCTGCCTCTAGACCAACCTTCAAACGTGCCACTCTTTACCCCCACACCAATTATTCCCTTGCTCCTCCTGGTCCCTCCTCCAGGGCTACTCACTCTCTTTTCCACCCCTCTCCCAGTCTGTCCTCTGTGTGGACAGACTGAGCTTCTAAAACACAGACATGATTTACAACTGCTTTCCTTCCTATTCTGGGCACTTAGGAAGTATATATAAAGTCCTTAAAATGAACCAAAGCAACAGATAGTTCCTTCCCTCCTTGAACAGATAGGGTTCCAAATTGGCTGATCTAAGAGTGCCAGCTTCAGGACTTCCCTCTGTTAAAGAGCCTGGGAGGAAGGCAGGCAGGATCTGGGAGACTGGGAGGGAGCTAGGCTGAGACTGATCCCCATTCCCCCCCAGGAAGTGAATGAATTGTGTCAGTCGGTGCAGGAGCATGTGGAGCTGCTGGGCTGTGGGGCTGGGCCCCAGGGTGAAGCCGCTGTGCGCCAGGCTGAGGATGCCATCCAAAATGCCAACTTCTCTCTCAGCGTGAGCACTCCGCCTCCTGCTACAAGGACCCTTCCCCTCTTAGTCAGCTGTCAGCTTGCAACTGCTTTTCCTCTTTGGCCCTCAGATTCTCCCCATTCTATATGAAGCTGGAAGCTCCCCAAGCCATCACTGGCAGCTTGGGCAGAAGCTGGAGGGCCTTCTGGGACAGGTGGGAGAGGTCTGCCGCCAGGACATCCAGGTGAGAGGGTACTCCTGCCCCAACCCCACCTCCGTTCGCAGGTTTGACCCCCATCCTTCAGTTTTAACTATGATATCCCCTGACTCAATATTCTGTTGGAGTTGGAGCCTCAAGCCAGCAGCCTGGTGTCTGGACATATCCTCACCATGCTCTGGCCTTTGTCCAGGACTTCACTCAGGCCACACTGGACACAGCAAGGAGCCTCTGCCCACAGATGCTGCAGGGATCCAGCTGGAGGGAGCAGCTAGAGGGGGTCCTGGCAGGCTCGAGGGGCCTCCCAGAGCTGCTCCCAGAGCAGCTGCTGCAAGATGCCTTCACTAGGCTCAGGTAGGCTGGATGGGGCTGGGCTGGGCAAGGCTAAGCAAAGCCAGCCCATTAACCCCTGTCCTCTCCTGCCCTTAGGGATATGCGGCTATCAATCACAGGGACCTTGGCAGAGAGCATTGTCGCTCAGGCTTTGGCAGGCCTGAGTGCAGCCCGGGATCAGCTGGTGAGGCGGAGATGTGCACACACTTTCGTGCAAACACACACATGCAGTGACTTGGCCATCTCCCTTGCAGGGGCTCTGTAATGTCTTCTGGGGTCATGTAGCGTAGGGCTATTTCAGGGTCCCCTTAGCACCAATGGGATCATGGCTGAGGCCCTACCTGCCATCTTTGGCTGCTTGGTATTGCAGGTGGAGAGTCTGGCTCATCAGGCCACAGTGACAATGCCCTCTGCCCTACCGGCACCAGACGGAGGTGAGCCCGGCCTCCTTGAGCCTGGGGAATTGGGAGGTCTTTTCTTCCCCGAGGAGGAGAAGGAAGAGGAGGAGGAGAAGGTAAGTAGTTTTAGAACACGGGGCATAGCACTCCCAATCTTCCCATCTTGCTGTGGAGTGTGGAAGGTGAAAGGCAGTTCTTTTGGGGTGGTGCTCTCCTACCCCAGGCTGAGTTTGTGCCCTCCCCACCAGGATGACAGTCCTCCACAGAAATGGCCTGAGCTCAGCCACGGTCTTCACCTGGTTCCCTTCATTCAAAGTAAGTCAGGGCCTTGGGGAAGGGAGTTTACATGGGTGGGCTGAAGCTCCATTAGACTGGGGACCCGGGTACCTGGATGAATTCATTCAGCCTTGTTTGGGTACCCCCCAGCCCTTGACTGGGCCAGGCCAGGACCCCCGTGCAACTTGCAAAGCTGGGGTCTGCTGTGGTCAGCCCGGGGCGGGACCTGGGCAGACTAGGGACTGGACACCGGCTCGACTCGCCTCCCCCATGCCCCTTTCCCTACCCCCGGGACGCGCATGCTTGGCGGCGGCGCGGAGCCTTGCGCGCTCGGGGCCGCGCTCAGCACCACGGACAGCGGCGGCGGCGGGGGAGGGGCGGAGGGGCGGGGGGACGGGCGGCGTAGCCGGGCCCCTCCCCGCGCCCTGGGCGGGTCCCCCGCAGCCCTAGCGCCTCCGCCGCCACCTCCCCGGGCTCGACGCTCGGTGCTCTTCTGGTGCTGTCCCCTCAGGTGCTGCTGAGGAAGCGGAGCCGGAGCCCGAGCTGGCGGCTCCGGGAGAAGATGCGGAGCCGCAGGCTGGGCCGTCTGCGCGCGGCTCTCCGAGCCCTGCCGCCCCCGGGCCCCCGGCCGCCCCACTGCCCCGCATGGACCTGCCACCGGCGGGGCAGCCCCTGCGCCATCCGACCCGGGCCCGGCCGCGGCCGCGCCGCCAGCACCACCACCGCCCGCCGCCGGGGGGCCCCCAGGTGAGCACCCTTCCCCCACTCCGGAGCGCGTGTAATTGGGGATCGCAGGTGGCCCGGCCGCTCCTCATGGGTGGTGGCAGTCAAGGAGAGGGGTTGGTAGGGGCCCAAGGCCACCTGGTCGTGCGGCTGCGGTCACATCCTGGCTTCTTCCTGGTCACCCCGCACCCCAGGCCATGCCTGTGCGGTACCATGGGTGTGCGGGTTCCGTTCGGGGTGTGCCTGGGTGTGGGACTCCGCCTTGGGGCGGCCCGCGGCCTCCGTGGCTGCGCGAGAGAGGGTGTCCGTCCTCCCTCCGTCCCCCGGGGCTGCTGAGAGATGCCGGGCACCGGGTAGCCGGGCCGCGGGGCCAAGCCTGCGTCTGCTGCGCGTCTGGCGGCAGCGCGTGTGGGGAGATGCGTGTGTGGGCTGCAAGCCCGCGGGGGCAGCGGGCACTGGCGGAGGGCGGGGAGGAGCTGGCTTGAGGCCCCCCAGAGGGTCTGACGCAGCAGCCGGCGCCACTGAGCCGGCAGCAGGCCGGGTGGAGTGGGGGTGGGGTGGGGGACACTGCAGGGAACTGTTCGCAGCAGAGCTGGTGGCAAGTGGGAATGGGTGACCCCGGGGACACGTGGGGGCTAGGTTTGCTGGTGACCGGGTGGCTCGGGCATGTAGGATACTCTGTGGGACAAGGACGGGTATGGACTGGGTGTGCGGGAGCCAGCAGCGGGTGAGGAGTGTGTGAAATCTGGCGTCTCTGTCCAGCAGCAGGACAGTAGGAGGCTGGTAGCAGCAGCAGCCCCTAGGGTCACCCCAGTCTGGAATCCTGGAGTTACTCAGTCCAGGCTGCCGGCCAGGGGCGGGGGAGAAGCCAGAGTTGCACTCAGCCCTGACCCCTGACCCCATGATGCCCCCCAGGTGCCCCCAGCCTTGCCGCAGGAAGGGAATGGGCTCAGTGCCCGCGTGGACGAGGGCGTGGAGGAATTCTTCTCTAAAAGGCTGATCCAGCAGGATCGCCTGTGAGTGAGGGGCATCTGCTGGGGGTGGCAGAGGGTGGGATGCCTGATGGGCTTTCTCACTCACTGCTGGGTGTCCCCACAGCTGGGCCCCCGAGGAGGACCCGGCCACTGAGGGGGGTGCCACTCCTGTCCCCCGTACACTGCGAAAGAAGCTGGGCACCCTCTTTGCCTTCAAGAAGCCTCGTTCAACGCGGGGTCCACGACCTGATCTAGAGACCAGCCCTGGGGCAGCTCCCCGAACCCGAAAAACTACGTTTGGCGACCTACTGCGGCCACCAACCCGTCCCAGCCGTGGTGAGGAGCCTGGTGGGGCTGAGGGGGACACCAGCAGCCCTGACCCTGCCCGCAGGAGCCGACCTCGGTACACAAGAGATAGCAAGGCCTACTCGATGATACTGCTGCCTGCTGAGGAGGAGGCAACGCTGGGTGCCAGACCCGACAAGGTGAGGCTTGCTGATGGCAGGGCTAAGGCACTTCTGGGACCCAGGGCATGGACTCTCTCCAACCCGAGCATCTCTGTCCCTAGAGGCGGCCCCTGGAGCGGGGAGAAACAGAGCTGGCTCCATCCTTTGAACAGCGGGTACAAGTAATGCTGCAGAGGATAGGCGTCAGCCGAGGCAGCGGGGGTGCCGAAGGCAAGAGGAAGCAAGTGAGTTGGGGGCACATGACCGTGAAGTGAGAGGGCAGGTGGCATGCTGTGGGTGACATATGTGACCAAGATGGAGGAGACTCATGACAGATAGGTCTAATTGTCAGTTCTACTCCATCCTCCTCAAAGTGGTTACAGAATCGACCTTTCTTCCCTCTTGGCTTCTTGACCCAGGCACAGGCCACCAGTATCTCCTCTTCGGACCTGAGAAAGTCTTTTCTCTGCAGGTCTAACAGAAATCTAAGGCCTGGGCCGGGTGCCGTGGCTCACGCCTGTATTCCCAGCACTTTGGGAGGCTGAGGCAGGTGGATTACATGAGGTCAGGAGTTAAGAGACCAACCTGGCCAACATGGTGAAACCCTGTCTCTACTAAAAATACAAAAATTAGCCGGGTGTGGTGGTGGGCACCTGTAGTCCCAGCTACTTGGGAGGCTGAGACACGAGAATTGCTTCAACCTGGGAGACAGGGCAGTGAGCCTAGATCGTGCCACTGCACTCTAGCCTGGACAACGAGAGTGAGACTCCATCTCAATTAAAAAAAAAAAGAAAGAAAAAGAAAAAAATCTGACCTTGTCACCTGTACTTGAAATAGCAAGTCCTCCAGGGGCTTCTTCTCAAGACACTGTTCAGACTTCACACCCTGCTTGGGGGCCCTGTGGGGTCTTGGCCCTGGCCACCTTAAAACCTCACTGCTTTCCTCCCCTAGGTGCAAATCAGAACCTCCACACACATCCCTGGGTGGTCTGGATGTCCTCCCTGCCTCGCTTCCAGTCTCTAATTGTGGGTTACACCAGGTCCCTCCTCAGCCATCCCTGCATTGCCCATGGTTCTTCCCTGACTCTCCTCTGTGGCCACCCTGCTAATGTCACTCTCATCACAATCCCAAAGAACCCCAGTCCTCCATACCATTCAATATCTTTTTTTTTTTTTTTTGAGGCGGAGTCTCACTCTGTTGCCCAGGCTGGAGTGCAGTGGCCGGATCTCAGCTCACTGCAAGCTCTGCCTCCCGGGTTTACGCCGTTCTCCTGCCTCAGCCTCCAAGCTCCCCGAACCCGAAAAACTACGTTTGGCGACCTACTGCGGCCGCCAACCCGTCCCAGCCGTGGTGAGGAGCCTGGTGGGGCTGAGGGGGACA